CATCTTAAATAACAATCTATTACTGGTGTTAGCTTCTGTTGTTTGAAATAAAGGTTAAAGAAAATAATGAATTTCACAGATTCTTATAAATTTATAACTCAGATAATTAAAGTAAACAATTTGTTATTGTCAGTTGATAAACAGTGAATAAAGAATATTGATTATTTTCAGTTTATTTCTTTGATATATAAACTGTTCTACGCGATTCCTCCATTCGATGAAATGATTATTGTATGATAAATACTAATGAATAACAATCCCTTTCCTGAATTAAATCTTTTGAACATGATAGTCGAATAGCATAGATCTTTTATGTTAATTTAGATATTAGACACAGGAACATTCTAGACTGTATTGGAATATTTTTCAGATACATCTATTATTTTCAAATTACAAAATGTAAGGTGGTTATGGTACATTTGTCAATAGTGTGTTTTATATTTTATTTGTAATTCAGAATAATCAGGAAGGGGGTTTTGTGGAGATTGTAGTAATTTAGTACTTGAACTCATGAGTCAATTAAAGCTAGACCACCTCCATGGAAAACCTGGAAGTACTGGACGGCCGTTTCGTCGTAGTATGGGACTCCTCAACATCACATTAGAGTTTGATCACTAACATACTGTCACCATTCTCAGTGATGTTCGTTTTAACTTTTATTACCCATCTTATTTGTAGCATAATCTATTTAAGTAATTTAGTAATCTAATATTATTTTTACATCTGTCTTACTAATTACTCATTATTATTTCTAAAAACAACGTCAAATGTTCATATTTCGATTTCAATCTTACTCAACTGCTATTCTTGTTCTTAAGTAATCACTTGTAATAAGTAAACGATTATGTAACGTTGTTTCAGCCTTAATTTTATATTTGTTAAACTAATAGTATTGAGATACATTGGTAAATTGATTCTTCACTATTTATTTAGTATTGATTTTTCACTAGATCTTAAAACCTATATATCAGTGTAGAGCGATTAGAATGAACAAATTGAGGCGAAATATCTCGCTGTGTATGAACACGATTAGCTACAAAGTAATGTTCAAGTCTGGTAAACCAAAGTTGAGGATCTGTGACCTTAAAAGGAGGAATAGTTACGTTAATGGACCTCACGGACGGCGTTTGGGAAAGTTCTATTGTATCGTTACTTAAAGACATATTTATAAAGATCAAAAGTACACGAATATCATGCGAATGTCACAGAGAAAAGTGAGTCGATAAAAACAATGAGTAGCAGAACCAGGCTTCAGTATTGTCGGGCCAGAATGGTATTAACTTAAATGAGGGTGGTGTAAGAAACTTGATATTAAATAATTCGGTAGTCTGTTCGGTTATGATAAATTTAAAGTATGTATCACAATATATAGAGATTAAAGTAACATATTGATACATAAAGTCCCAAAGAGGAACAGACTCATAGTTTATGAATAGGTATACCAGATCACGTTAGGCTCATCACTAAAGATGCTACAAGTATTCGGAGTTTGAAAACACCTTGACCAGTAACATCTTTCATAATCGAAACGTGCCAAACCAGTGAAATCGGGAGTCACTAGCGAGGAGGCTCGAAGATATATTTCATAGAATATCGACATATCGAGAAGTGACTAGTCTATGCTGGATAGTGGTTGTAGGGGAAGTGAAGCATGGCGTACTCACTCGTGATCTGGTGTGGATACATGACCGAGAGCCTACAGCTAGGTGAGTCCACTAACCCCAATGTGGTCAGCATCAAATGTCGAAGACTTACAGAGCTATTGATGTTAGGGATTTATTTACCGCTACACAACCTTCGAAATATCCGTGATACTGGTTCTTCAAAGAGATGCCTACATTGACCAACTCACTAACTATTCTTGTCACTTAAAACAGAATACTGAAGAGAATCGTTGATCCATTAACTCTAGTCATAAAACTGGTTACGCGAATGCTTCTGTTCATTCACAACAATTTGAAATGTTTGTTCGCGTGCAATTTCAAGCA